ATGGAGTGCTCTTGCGGGAAGGAAACTACTCCTACCCACTTCATCCACTGTAGCCGTCACGCACAACAAACGCGTAGGCTCAGAAAGTCAATGTCACACGCTGACTTTATTAAAAAGCTTCTCGGGCCCAAGTGCCACGATAGCTTCAAAATATTTGCGGAGGAAACCGGCTGTTTTGATAGCCAACCCATCCACTCATCCACTACTCTCAGCGGGGATCAGACAAACTAGTCATTGCCACAACGCATGACACAAAAGGGATCGATGCGAGAAGTGTCGTTTCTCTGAGAAAATTTTTATGTACTTGGATTTAGGGTTGAAGGATGGAGTCTTGATTTTGGAGTCGGAGTAGGTGGTGCCTTCTGAGTTATGATTTACCTTCTACTTTTTCTGTAGCGGGTCTCGCGGTTGGAATGAGTTGGGCCTGTAAGCAGTAATCCCCGCTGGCTCCACCAGTCTTGTACCGATAGTGGACCTAGAGCTTTAGCTTAGGACTTTAATATAGTAAAAAAAAGACCGGTGCTATGTATACATGTGGGATGACACTTTTGACGTTAGAGGCACTCATAATCTGGATTTCATTTGCAAATACCACTATGAGGTATGTTCGCTTACACAAACAGTCGACCCTCTTCCGTAAGTACCCACCTAAGGGAAATTCAAAACCTTTGGTTATCCAAGCATGCCTTCGCCGTCCATGCATACCAGCGCCGCGAGAAATATGGTTGTGTTTTGCCGGATTTGAACCAGTGATCTACTGTCTTGAGTGGGATATGTGTCCAAGCTATCCAAACTCTATTCGGCAGACTGGCTGCATCAGCATCGTATACTAGCTTGTAGACTACTCAACTTAAACATCGTAATACTATATTTAAATTTAGGGTAACCTGTTCGACACCATGCCACTCCACAGACGGAAAATAGAGACATAATTGCCATAAACCTCACAGCTCACTACTAGAAGAATTCCGTCCTCTCCCCTTCCAGATCGTTTTTGTTATCCGACTTCCCCTACTAAACGAAACTATTTTATCCATCCTTTACTTAGTTTCTACTGTGTGATTCTAGCCAAATCTTCTCTGCTATTAATCATTGCTTCAAATGGCCTGTCTTTAATTTGTCAGAGAAAGGCATCTCTTCTATTTGCCCACTGCGGACAAGCCAACACCGTGTGCTTGACGTTTTGTGACGGATATCCATATTGATAGCTCAGCTTTTTTACTCTGAGTACTTTTCTTCTGCATAGGTAGGAATTGAACCCGATAAGTTCGCGTCTAAGCTAAATGGCGGCGCTGCTTTTGGCCCCGGTTAGATTGTGTGTTTGTTTATTGTACTACTTGAGTCTTGGACTATCTATCACATTGGGCTCCTCTCTGACCCAGGCCACACCTTGTACAGTGCTCCTTACCTCTTTTGTTACTTGTAAGATCATCGATATATTGCCCGTAATGAATAGCCATTCAGCTCAGTATTTACCCGTGGAATTCAGCCAACTTTTTCACCGAACCTTCTATCCCAAAAAATACTAAAGTAGCACCGGAAACTGCGTGCGCGGGAAAAGTCTCAAAAAACCTGCAGCCCCAGCCAGGCGAAGCCTAGACACCAGGACCACATGAGGTGCGCATATTTATTTATATCTCCCTTCTTTGTAACAGTTGAGGTCGACTTGATCCAATCCACCATCTCCGTATCGGGTGCTGGGTACGCTCCGGAAACTCATCGGATGGCTTTTTTCCATGATCAAGGGTGGGTGATAAGTAGGACTCTGACCTTACCATCTGATCTGATCGTGGTTAGCTTCATGAAAATGGTGATAGGGGAATGTGTTGAGAGATGAAGACGATACAGACCGCGAAAGCGATTGGGAATCCTCGTCGAAGTGAGGACTCTGTTACTCAATCTCGGCTCTACAGACTCTACAGTGAGAGCTGGAAGTTCGTAGGGGACACCACTGACAGGTGTTGAGAATAGTCCCTCAATAAAAATAAGTAATTAATTTTAAGAAACTAATCACCCTGCGCCTCTCTTTCTCGTAACTCTTTATGCTGTAAAAAATTTCCTTCGACAGAACTTAATCCTCCCGATTTGGGCTCTGGGTCTCGTAGCATTTGAATATTGTTAGGAAATGGATAAAATTCCCCCCTCACTCTTCTGCCAGCATCTTTCATCCTCCCGGTGGTGGTTCGTGCTTCAAGTTTCTCCATTGAGGTAAGGCAATCCAATTTTCGGCAAAGTGCCAGGGAAATTTTTCTCAATAGATTCCCTTTCATTCTTTGTTCTAGTTTAACGTCCTATGCGGTATCTATATAGAGAACCATGAAGACGGTAAGCCATGTTAAGAAGGGAAAAAGCTTTCAACAAACAAAACCCGATGTCCTGCCACTCTGAACCGATCCAGCTTAATGCTGAGGACGTTCCTTTCAACCATAATTTCATAAACTTTCCCCAGAATTCGTTAACTCCCCCTTCAATCAGACTAACGTTATGAAAAATTAAAAAGAGAAGGCACCTCCTCACTCGGCGTTGGTCTTCGAAGTGTTCGAAGAGTTGGCCCCGATGGTGGTGCTCCTGTCGAGGCGATGGTTGATACCGCTGGGGCTTCGACTACCTTGCGTGGTCGTCCCGGCCCTCTTTTGAGTCCTTCAGCCTTCTTACTGGTGGCCAAAGTAAATCCCTGATCATCAGTCGTTTCGACTGTTTGCATTGGTGCCATGGTAGGTTTTCGTTCCATATATCTGCCGTTCTCGATAACAGCTCCATCCGAGCCTTCTCCATACTTCCCTTGTAGACCTGGTAGGTCCGACACGCTACTTTCTGCCATGAACGATGTTCCTTGCCGCAGTTCGCACAAGAAACCCTTTTCCTCGGACAGTCTCGAGTTTGGTGAGAGCCAGCACACTCACCGCACCTGGCTGCCTTTCCACACGACGCTTGTGTGTGTCCCCACTGGCTGCAGTTATAACACTGCTTTGGCTGGGCCCTTGGTGACCACACCTGCGCGGTGAAGAGCATGGCGTTAATGACAAGGCCCTTACGAACTACCTCCGTTTGCATTGCCTCCGATAGGAGGCTGACCACAATTGATCCTCGATTGCGACCGTTTTTCTTCGATCGCTGGTGCTCCTTTCCATCGTGTAGCCACCAAATTCGATTAATCACTAGGCCAGGAATTCGAGCCTTTGTTGCTATCTCAATCTCCCTGATGATAGCGTAGTTTTGGGCATCTCTGCCACCCTCAATTCGAGTCCGCAAAGGGACACCAGAAACCTCGACGGGAAAATCTTGCCGTAAAATCTTAAACTCGTTAGGTTGGCGCATGCTGAGCGCCGCGTCTCTCTGGGACGCCGACTGGACGAACACCTCAGTGTCGTTGCTTCGCATTTGGCGAATCGCGTATGCGCCTTGGATATGTTGTTGTGCCTTTGTTAGCAGCTCTTGTGGCTGCAAGTTTTGTGCGCCGTCAATTCTAATTCTGACCGCCGTTTTCGCCATTTGCGGAGCTACGACCGACGCGTAGGTCTTTGGTAGCGGCTTCCCAGACGACACAACAGGAGCTGCTTGTCGCGCGGCGTCCGCGATGCTTTTCTTTACTACTTCCTCCAATGCTATCACCCTCTCCTCGATCGGAGAAGGGATCTGGGACAACGATGTCCAAGCCTTCTTGTGATAATTGAATGCCTTGACGGCTTCATTCACGTCTTCCATTGTTGGTAGGTCCTCCTCATCCATCTCTCCCATCACAATAAGTCTGACCTTTTTTAATAGTTTCCCTATTATTTCCAAGTTAGGATCCTATGGAGATATCTGCACTCCGCTGCCGTTATTTGATGATGCCATTGTCACATTTTGCGACGCGTCGAAACCGCTGGATTTACCCACACCAGCACCTACACTCGCCATGTTAGAGCACGGAAAGCGAAGAGATGTGCAAAGTGTAAAGAAAATGTAAAAATAATGATCACGATGTCAAATTGATGATACGGGCAGCATGGAACGCTGCGCAGCTTTCTGGCAAAAATGATGTTTTTTTCTTTCTCAATAGATTGTAAAGTATGTTTGAATTTCGTATCAGGCAAAAGTCCTACACCCAAGAGGCACGATACGGGTGTGTGATCCCTAAAGACTCACTGCTAACTATCTGTCCAGCTTTCTAGGCCGATTGATTACATGAAAAGAAATAAAGAAAATTGCCTAGACAAAAAACGCCCTGCGCCTTGCCCACTTTCATATGTAACTGCTAAAGATATTCCAGTCCCTCGGAAAGGTTTAGCTCTCTTCATGTGGAAACTTCCCCGCGTAGCATCTCGTTACGGTTATGTACTTATAGAATTCCTCCCATCCGTTTTCTGTCAACATAACTCGACTTCTTGGTGGTGGTTCATGTCTGGATGTTCTCCATTGTCGCAAAACCGTTCGGCACTCTGCAGAGTGGCAAAGACGTCTTTCGCTTCTACAGACGCATCTACAGTCTATATTTTCATGCCCGAATCTGTCATGGTAACCCTTGAAATCTCCGTTTCCTGACCTCGCTGCTGTCAGACGATGGTATGCCCATCTCGGCAGTCTAAGTCAACAGATTGTTAAGTTGAGGGTGCTTTCACCATAAAGATATCCTCTTTGGTAAGATAAGAGTTCACAGCCACCTGCCTGGGTCTATAGGCCGCCAAAGCAGGTTACTGAGTTCAAATCCAGACATTAATTTAGATTCGAAACGTATTCAACTCATGCCTGAGGTGTTCAGTGTTGGTGGTCTGTAAATAAATAGCGGCAAAAAAACGGGACAGATAGAGCCACAGCTAGGTGAATAATTAAGAGACAATAATATATTTTTTGCAGCTTGATCGCATCGGTTAAGTTAACTGGATAAGTATTGATTCTACCAAGTTTTAAATACTCTATTCCTATTGAAATTTCGATCGATACTCGTTAGATAGGCTTTCAGGTGAAGACCTTCGCGAATTTTACAATCAAATACATCCGACTTCTCCTTGTACTACGCTCTATCCATAAACAAGCCTGAAGATGTCGTTGAAAATAAAGTAGCTTCCTGCGCCATCGCGGTAAAGCTGGAATGCTTGACTAAAGCTCAAAGGTTTTTGCTCCTCATCGACCTGTGAATTAGATCGATTAGCTTCAATCTAATTTGGGTAATTTATATAAATTCTGTGCTGGAACGCACCAGTAATTTTCCGGTTATCAAAATAATGATCTGTCCATTTTCTCCAGATGGCTGTGCATCAATCGTAGCTACTTCATGTTTGACTTGCCTGAATGGAAGTGACTAAATCGGATCAATCCATATACTTACACCTTTTTTAGAGCAGACCCACGGTTAGTTTTTCGACTATAGCGTTTGAGCCCAATATTGATGAGTCCTCAAAAGTGAACATGGAGACATCTCTCTACGTAAAAATAAGTGATAAAAAAAGGCATTTTGGAATTCAGCTCACATAAAGTGGCTTAAGATCTTGTCTATTTTTGTCGAAAGCATCATAGTAGAACGTTGTAAACTGGCCTGTACATGAAGTTAGTTTTTAAAGATTGCGATTCCAATTATATTTATGTTTTGATTCTACAGAAACAGTGGTTTGACGATTGATATGCGGGCTGGGCTTCTTACGTGCAATGTCTTGGAAGTCTGCTGAATTGCTATATTAGCTCCTGCATGATGTATAAAATTGAAGATTAGATATACCCATCTTTGTAGGGAAGTTAATTAAAAACCACGAATGTGAATAGATTTAGTTGGGTTTCGATGCTGCTTCAATATGCTGTTAATATGGAGGGGGAGGAGGGGCTTCTATTAATTCGCGCTAAATCCTAGCCTCTAAATTAGTAAGGTAGCTAAAATTTTCGCGTCGGAGTGCAATATTTATAGCAAGCCACATTTCAACCCATCAGCATAGTCTCTCCGAGTCAACTTACTTAGCACAATAATTTCAAGTACTTTAACTACTGTGTTCGCTTGAAACAAATAATAATATGAGGTATTTCATTAATTTTATCCAACACTCTTTTCCAAAACCATGATGACGATAACATGAACCATTAAGAACGGCCAACTAAAAGCTCATGTTGAACCATATAAATAGTCTGACTGAAAATTTAACTTCCCAACTTGTAGTCTTTGACGCCAATCGCTAACACTTGGCAACAGGAATCCTAAGCTATGTTAAAGCACTGGTTGCCTAGCATCAAATTATGTCCAGCACTAAACATGGATGAAAAATAGATTGTGTCAATATTAGTACTCGATATAGCATGAAATAGGAAATAGACTCGAGGAAGACCGGAAATGATTTTAAGACAGCGGGTTGAAAAATCAATAGACTAATCCTCTCAAGGAGATTTTGGCATAGAATAAATGCCACCACATTACACAACAAATCTATTTAAATATGTGACTGCAGAATAACATAAATCCTGTCTAGTGTGAATGGGTGTCTTGAACATTTCGCCCTGCCGTGATTAGAACCTTTGTATAGGAAATAGAGGATGTTAATCCGAGCACACCCAACCCTGTGCTAACAAGCCCTCCAGCTCAGACTAGCCTGACATACCATGTCAATTATCTATATGCCAAAAATACCCCGCGCTAATGGTAAGATTCCCACGGACTTGAACGATCTCAAATATTCATGATTGCGCAACCTCCCCATTGTATCGCAATTTCTATCGGCCCCACGGAGTCCCGTCTTTCGCCATCAAGGCTTGGCTGTGTAGCCTCAACGACGCCTAAATTGTACTATTTTCTCGTCACGACTGAGATTAGTATATTCGCGGTTTAATCTACCGCAGACAAGATTACGGTAAGGAAAATCAACATCGTCTACGCGTCAACGACTGTAGTCTCGAATATCTAAAATGCCATGTTTCAAAGGCATTGCGGTCAGCGTACACGCTGAAGGTGCTCCGCTACCAGAATATTCTGTACAAAAGCAATCAAGGGTGTCACGCGTTAGTACATACATTCCAGTACCAAGACCAGTGATCCCACAAAATTCGGACAGGCTTGAACCTTCCAAATTCGCTATTTCAATTACCCTACTTACTCCTGGTATTCCTATACCTTATTCTCAACCAAAGCCATCGCTTGAAAATCCTCACCCATCTCCTCAAATGGTTGCTGGGTCGCCGAGAGCCAACGGATCAGGAAGAAACGTTGCTGGGGTGATCGGACCTTATATACCTACCTCAAACTCCGAAAACGAAACTATCGCTGCTTACATTTACTTTGATGGCCGAGTAAAAGAAGAAGTCGCAACTCTGCTAAGACCTGGGGAAGAAACTTGGGTAAATTCCCGCTGGGTTCAATTGCCAGATTCTGAGGGTGGTGGCCTAGCCGAAAGAGAATTTTTGTTCCGTGAAGTTGGGCTAGAGAGGTGGTTAAATGGTTTGGATTTGGATGGTCATGGCGCCGCTGCCAAAATTGAGAAACGTAGACAAAAATTTGAGAAACGCCGGAGACGTCGGAGAGCTGAAGCTTGCATGATTGATGAGTTTGCGGAAGCGACCCCTCGCAGAACAGATGGCCAGGGTATTCTGCGATACGGCGATGATGAAAAATCGCCAATTGAACAGATTTCTGACGATAATTACAGCGATGGTTCCAACTCAGAAGACGAAATCCCACACGAGACCGCCGGACAAATCAAGATTGCTATGTTTCGCGTTGTTGCATCTGGTGAGATCAAGAAAGGGGAATACTCTCCACAGTTTGGTGCAAACGACAGCGACGAGGAGGGCGAAAGCAATAATACCGAAGAGGGCGATATAGATCATACAACTAGCTTCGCTAAGCCCAAGATCTTAGATCCAAAGACGGTCAGCACTCAAACTGTCACAGGTATCGACGGACCCGATAACCCATTTGCTGTCTTTACTTTCTTTTATCGGGGAGAACGTAAGTGGAACACTCTATCTAATCAAGCTCACCAACATAGTAACATGGTTCATAGGTCAGCTTGAAAAAATGGGCATATTGTCACAAAAACGCCCAAAAAGTATCTCTGACTCTAGTAAGCGCAGGTCAACTCTGCTAGATCTTTCAAGCCTAGCCCCATTGAAGCCAGGCGGGACTGTGGGTTTCTCATCGTTCAGAGAGCGAAAACCCTCATCGAAGCTAGATAAAACAAGTAAAAATAGCAGGCGCAGTTTCTCTGGCTCTTTAGACAGTGATGATAATGATGACGGTGGTGATGAAGATCAAAAACCCAACAAAGTTATAGTAAAATCTGATATTGATGAAGAGAAAGAATCGAGCTCTCTGTTAACACATGACTATCTTAAATCTACCGGAGAAATGATCGATGGATTCGGGCGCATAAAGGCATGTACTAATCATTATTGGGAAATAGACACACATTAACTTTACACTGCAGCTTAAGCGTCAACATTCAGTTGAACCAAACGACTCTACAGCTCGACCATCTCCTGCATCTGCAAGTACCAAATCAGTTGACGGTTCGCCACCCTCTGATCTTAACTCAAAATTAGAGTATTTGAAAACAAATCCAAGCAGTCTCTTCGGAAGTTGTCTTCCTGACGAGTCTGTAGTAGGTAGTCCTTTGAAAAAACATAGGGCTAGTCTTTATAGTATTGACTCGGAAATATATCGTAATCAACTGGCCCATGGCGTCAAAGGCTCCGGTAGTGATAATAAGGCCGCAACTGAGGTGATGCCAGAACCACTTCCATCCATAGCTACCGGAATGGAAGAAGAAGAGCTTTAGCTCCTCTTTGGTCAGGTCAATATGAAAGAAATTTTGGAGCAAAATGTCTGTTTTTTGCCAATATTGGAAAGAAGATAAATTGGCACGACATTTTTTACGAAACAAGAAACCCAAATTTTCCATGGTAAATCGAACCGTTTTTGATCATCGAATATTGTATCAATTATTGATCAGGCAGCAATAAATACCACTGCAGTTCTAAAACTCAACTAACAGCTGTAGAATGTAAAACGCTTTTAGAAAAAATTACGAACATCTCTTTTTTAAGAATACTACTAAACCTAATACAAGACTTACGGAAATATTATGCAAAGGTTAGGACGACTTCTAGGTGTAGTTAGCAGATTTCTGTCAACAATAACTAAGATCTGGAGTTATGGGGAGTAAGGGGCGATGCTCGAACAGCTCAAGGTAGCATTCTTGTTGCTCATAGAGCCTTAGAAAATGAAGATTTTTAACGGAACGGGATATAGACCCTAAACATAATTGGAATCCCTCGATCCTAGATTCCAAGTCTACCTCTTCCGATGGAGGCAATGTTAGGTACGCACATATAGTTTATTAAAAAGCAGCAATTTTATACGTATGTGTAACAAAAGGATTTTATGAATTGCCTCCATAATGTTGCAAATATCAGTTAGCCTCTATTATGCAGTTGACTAAATTCTTTCACAAAAGTTTTGTGCATGATAATTGGTTCCAATCAAAAATAAAGCTCAGTTTATTCTTATCCTCCCATCGGTGGGATTGAAGGGTGATTTTGCCGTAAATGAGGGGTTAAGCTTAGATGTAGATTGTTCACAGTATCCAGTCATACTTTTCAATTGGCTATATTTTTCAGTAATTTTGTGCGCGGTATTCTGTGATCTAATCAGCAAATAAGTTTAGCTGATATGGCTGGGATTGAAGTTCTGGTCTACCGTCGTGCCACGGTGTCAAGTTCGCAGTGGGGCTTTGGCAGGGTTTTTAGCGTCCAAACTAAGACGCCATAGGCATAGTCACCTTCCATATTGGAGTTAGCCCCCGTATTTGTGCAAATTTTCGAGAAAATTTACATGGCAGTATTTTTCTGGACACAATAGTTTGCAGTGGGTCTTTCCTTCGTACTTTACCTAATTGGTATAAAGATCGGCTGCATAACATTTGTGAATTTTTGTTACTTGATGTTATAACTTAATTACAAGACTTCTAAGGGTTTAGAATTACAAAATAGAGCCAATCTTATCCTAACCTTAGATCTGAACATGCGGCTGGAATATTTTCAGGCCTTAATGTCTGGTCGGTCCCCCATCCGCATCTACCACAGCCTGACATCTTGCTGGCACGCTCTGAGTGAGTCTCACAAGATCTTCGGAAGAAACGGAATCCCATGCCTCCTTTACAATCTTGCGAAGACTATCATGAGTTCGCTGCTTTCCGCAACCCAGATTCGGATGATGACGCTGGATGTTATCCTTCATCTTATTCCAAACAGCTTCAATCAGGTTAAGATCAGGCGAGTTGGCCGGCCAGAAAAATCGGTTGAATGAGCCTCTGGCTCATATATTCCATTGTCCTTGCTGCTGTGTGAGCAGAAGCATTGTCCTGCATTATGGAAATCCAAGGTCTCATCGAGATCATGCCATCGACAAGAATCACCAAGGGGGAAAATGGCAGAGTGGCAGCCTGGGGAAATAAAGATATATTGGCTATGAAAGGAGAAGAAGGAGTAACTACAGCGAGATCTATATACATGATGCGTGGGTGTTCGCTGAGTAATGCCAAGGCTTGATTGGCATTCATGTCACGTGTATGTTTGTGATTCTCAAAACCTACATTTCTACAGTGATTGTACGCATGGAGCCATGAGGGCGTAATTATAAGAGGAACTATTTTCTCGCAATATTTTTGGGAGTTAATTAAACCCCACTCACTCCACTTTGGAAGGAGACGCCTCAGACCATATTTCGCGCGGAGAAAAGTTGAAAGATGATGGAGGCATGTCTGGATAACTTAGGGTTTTTAGACGTTCCCCTGGGTGGGTATTCATGGATGAGGGTTGACTTGGGGTGAAGAAAAAGCCACCATAACTTCGCAGTGGTACTTGCAAATGAAATCCGAGGCATGAGTGCTCCTATTGTAAATTGAGTCATCTTTTCTGTACAATTCTTTGATATTGTGTCATAGCTAGATAGCCGCATGCACAATTAAAATCTGATGCAAAAAAGACGGCTTCCCAAGAATACAACGCTGATTGCGTTGGAGAAAAATCGAAGAATAGGGCCCTTGTTTGTTTAGGGAGAAGGATTACATCCAGCGTCATCATCCGAATCTGGGTTGCGGAAAGCAGCGAACTCATGATAGTCTTCGCAAGATTGTAAAGGAGGCATGGGATTCCGTTTCTTCCGAAGATCTTGTGAGACTCACTCAGAGCGTGCCAGCAAGATGTCAGGCTGTGGTAGATGCGGATGGGGGACCGACCAGATATTAAGGCCTGAAAATATTCCAGCCACATGTTCAGATCTAAGGTTAGGATAAGATTGGCTCTATTTTGTAATTCTAAACCCTTAGAAGTCTTGTAATTAAGTTATAACATCAAGTAACAAAAATTCACAAATGTTATGCAGCCGATCTTTATACCAATTAGGTAAAGTACGAAGGAAAGACCCACTGCAAACTATTGTGTCCAGAAAAATACTGCCATGTAAATTTTCTCGAAAATTTGCACAAATACGGGGGCTAACTCCAATATGGAAGGTGACTATGCCTATGGCGTCTTAGTTTGGACGCTAAAAACCCTGCCAAAGCCCCACTGCGAACTTGATACCGTGGCATCACGGTACCTTGCAGTGTTGCCTTAGAGAAGATAATCTCCCACATCTGAAAAGTATCCCTACATCACTCGGTAGGTCTATTAAAGCTCTGGAGCGCTCGTAGTCACGAGAGAGAGAGAGTTTATTTATCGTGCCAGGCTTACACCCTCCATCCAATGGACACGACACGCATGGAGGAGATCTAGAATACAATTTCCTCCATTCTCCAGCAAAGCCCATCCGGTGCCTGACTTTCCAAATACGTGCCTCACCCTAGTTACATCGGGTCGAATAGGTAGGAACGCATTCACCATAATTCTAAGACCATGTATTGAGGGAAAACCTTCGTGGGAAAACCTCAATAATTCCTCCTGTACTCTTTCACGACGAGCAGCCGTAGTCCCCCCTTAAACAGGCGGTGTAGGAATCCAACCTACCACTTCTAGAAAGCACATCCAGCACCCGACCAACTGTGCCAACAGCCTGTTGAAAATCATATATCGTTCTTCCTAAATTCTCCCCTGGATTGCGCTCAACCCCCATTTGAGAGGGCTGAAATTCCGAAATCGAGAGCTCAATACCGAGGCATCGGTGCCCCAGCTTTTGTCGTACATTATTCGTTGTCTGAGTGAGGCTTCTTCGTTCGCGCCGTCTTTGGAATGTGTCGAAAAGTTGAGAATGTTCATGTCGCGATCGAGGTGCTTGTCTAAAATGAGGCCGAGCAATTGCCCAGTCCTGCACTCAATTTTAGTAAGGTTGAAAGCGAAAGGAATTTTACCTTTGATTTTGGAGGGTTGTTGGTGAGTCGTAAAGTCCTCCCAGTCAAACTCAATCGGGCAGTTGTTAGAAGACTGAATAGAAGAGACCCAAACTTGAACTTTTGATCTTTCGTGCCGGGAACGGGACCTAGCCCATGTGTCACTCGTAGTCACGAATTTGAGTGTGATCTAATTTAACGTCGTGCTAGTGCACAGCTCATGATCATTGTCACGAACCGGACAGCTCAATTCCTACAGCACTACCCAACGCCCTAAAGCACCCAGAAACTACAAAAGAGCCCGACCAGCTATGCTCGAAGAAGGACGAAGGCTGAACGCTTGTCAGTGGTGTCCTCTACGAACCTGGGTGTGAAATATTCTCCCAGAGCCGAGATTCAGTCACGAAAAAGGGTGGGATGAATTTGTTTTTGATGGATTTTCGACTTGAAGGGGTTGCACTTGAAATTTTGGTCGAAAAATCAGTCGGCAGAGATTTCACAGCCGAAGCAAAGTTGAAAATAAAAACTCATCACCAATAACATACGATGCACGAATGGATTTGGGTCTGTCTGGGGGTCGTATTCAAACACCCGACATCTCCCAAACTCCTCTTATATTTGCGACGAAGCATTTCTCAGTCGATCCTATACCTGCGACCCACTTCCATACTCGTCCGATCACCTACCTACATACGCCCTAATGAGGAAAGTCATGATGGAAACGGGACGTGTACAAAGGAGGAAGAAGAGGGAAGACACACTGGGGGATTACACTAATCCCCCATGACGAAAACAACCCAACGGTACAGTACGAGGGTATAAGACTAGCGAAACAATGAGATCTTGGACGGCATTTATATTTCGGCGTCAACAAGAATGTCAAGGGCTCGGGCGCATGCTGGCCGATGCTGAGGAGTAATTTGCGCTACGGTGTGTGTACACGGGTTTCTGGAAGGTCAGGCTTGGTATCATTCAACATAAGGGTGAAGTCTGAGGTGGGACGCGGTTTATCTGTACTTCACGGTAGTAAACCTGATCCGTCCCGGCCCCACTCGTGCTTAAGCTCCAGTAGGAGTGCGACGGTAGTTACTTCACCTAGCACGTTATTGAACAAACAAAACTCACATTTCGAGGAATTAAAAAATTCCCTTTTTCCTTTTTTCCACCCCTCTCGATCTTGTTGCATCTATCTTCGAAGTGTGATCGAGCTCAGGCAGTTTCACAATACCTCCAGTTCGAAAAAAGCGTCCAAATGTCTCGTTGGACAACACGAGAGTCCGCCCTAGGGCTCTCGAACAAGTACCTGGCCTTGTCCAGTCTCCGAAATGCGCGGAGATGAGCAAGGTCTCAATCAAAGGGAAGGAAAAAGCCCTTCCCATCGTCAACGAGCCCGATACTGACATGATCGGGTCAGTTGAAATTATTGAGGAAATTCCTCAACAAGCCTCCGT